GACGATGTTAATTAAACTAATTCCTCTGTGGTTTTCACAGGAGAACCTGTCGCATTTCTTGTAAATCGGTATGATAATCGATTCACACCATTCAGTTGGATCCTCTACCCTTTCCCATATTGAACCCAGGAGTTTTATCAACTCTAAGACTAACGCTGAGCCTCCATCCTTAAATGCTGATGGGAACAGCCCATCCGGGCCAGAAACCCTATGCCTTCTGAAATAGCTTATTTCCCAGGTAACCTCCATTTCAGATGGAGGACTAGCATCAACTGGGAGTATTTGTCCAGTCGAGGCGGAGAGTGAAAGATAAGATGTCGATGGGGGCCAGTTGAACTGAGCCTTGAAATGTTCAGCCCAACGGTCAAGACAGCGTTGCTGATCGTGAATCAGTGTGCCATTGCATTCCTTAATTACCTCACTTACGCCTATTTTCCTAGGACCCGTATTCCTAATTAGATGGAAAAGGTTACGACTATCACCAATAGCCGCAGCTTTCTCCATCTCTGTACATTGTTCTACCCACCACTTCTCGCGGTTATTCCTCAGGCTCTTGGTGAGCTGGCGTTTAAGGGATTTGCGCGCTGTCGTATGTGGCATCGGGAGGGAGGGTTCTGCGGGCGTCCAGCAGGGCAGTCGAGGTTGACGGTATCCATCGTTTGTATTTTGAGCTTGAGGTAGGGTCCGATGATGTTTTTATCGATATCTGCATAGCTTCCTTGATTTGCTTCCAGTGTTCATTGAGTCCTTCGGCTGACGGTTGAATTGACAGACGATCGGAGAGTTCCGCTTCGAAGGCCGATTTGCAACTATCGCTGACACTGTATCGTGGTTATCCGTTGTTGGTGGCTTTTCTGCGGTTGTTTGCCAGGCGTAGGGAGAATTTGGCTCGTAACAAGGCGTGGTTTGTATCCACAGCTGTTGACCAGTAAGAGTAGCAGTATTGAATTGATCCCCTCCAGCGGTAACTGATGACGATGTGGTCGATTTGGGTCCAGCGCAGTGAAGAGGTGTTCCAGAATCCTATGGAGGGTAAAAAGTTGCTCAACAAAACCTCTTCTGCGGCGAAACCTTCATTAGTTCGGGTGGTTGCGGGTATTTCTGACGACTGTGAAACGGGAAAGCGGCATCATTCCACACAATTTGGCCACAATATTAATGAGGCTGATACCCCGATAATTTTCGCATCTTGATCTGGCATCCTGTTCTGAACTGGGATTAAAATTGAAGTTGCCAAGTCTTTGAAAAATATTCCTCTTTTCAAAATGCAGAAGAACAGCGTGTACAATAGATCTATCAGAATACATGAACTAGCTTTGAATACCTCTTGGATTTCCCGTCTTCCCCCGGAGGCTTTTCTACTTTTCAGAAAAATGACATTGGCGATTTCTGTCTCACGAGGTGCGTCATAGTTGATGCTGAAGGTCGCTGAACTGCTTGACATCCGCAGACAGAC